TAAGATGACCGAGGATCTTTCATGGACTGAAAACAACAAGCTTAGATAAGGGGTATTTTTCTAACGTCGAGGGGAAATATGTATAAACTAAGGATCATTTGTATGAGGGGAAATTGTTTTCCGATTTTTCGGTCTTTGGATGATGGAAAACTAATCGATCTACGGAAAAAGTATTTTGTGGACTGAAAACAACAAACTTAAATAAGGGGAAAACGACTTCTGCTGCTGACAAGAAGGAAGTCACTTTCCCTAAACCATCAAACAAATGAAAATTACTATTTATCTTGAAAATGACTTTTATGGAAAATATATTCATTTATCATAAAATTTGAAAAATTGAAAACTTTGGGATTGAACTAGCATCCGTTCAATAGATTTAGGATTAGTCAAATAGTTTCCCCAACTAATAAATCACCCAAATACTCATGGATTATATATAGGAAAGAATGATCTTTAGATAAATTTATGGCTATCCGAACCGCGATTCGTTCAAACATTTGAACTCCTTATTTCTAAGATTGCGGATTTAGGACAATCAAATGACCAATCGAAACTTCCTTGGGCAATCCATATTACCAAGCAAGTAGGGTAAATAGATTCAATCTCCCGATTTGAGAATGTAAAATTTTGTGGGAACACAAGGGTTTAATATTAATGTTTTAATATTCTCCAATAGATTGGACTTTGACTTAAGACTAAAGCATGTAAATATATATATGGAGAGGCAAATAAGGAATATTAAAAGATTTACATTCGGGATCTCTAGCTCTGAATGTCATGAAAATGGCATAAATAATTGAACTCGGATAAGTAAGGATTTTATTGACATCAAGCTCCATATACACAGTGTACAAGAATATCTCAACCTTCTCAAATCTCCTATGATTGAGGGATTAAGAGAGATTGAATCTTATCTATCACCAACTCAAAACTACAAATTCGAATTACAAGTATAACAAGGGTGTACATCAGTCTTGGTCCAACCTAGGAACTAGATCGAGCTAAACCAAACTAGCCAGTTATGGTTGGTTCCGAGGAGATCGGTTTTCCCAGTTCCAAATAAGGTACCACACCACCTAGACCGGACCGTTTAGACTGGATCGACAGACTGGCAAAGATTTCTTTTATTTATTTATTTATCTTTAGACACACCCTAATCAGTAAATTATATTTTTCTTTTAATGCTGTAAAACTCCCACTTGTAGGGAATTGAAGAAACCAAAAAAAGAAGACAAAGAAATCACCAATTCCAGGGCCAACCCTGGAATCGGACTGGACCGGTCGATTTGATTCAAATGGACCAATTCCTGGTTCGACAAATTGGGAATCGACCCTACATGGTCTGATTCCAGGTTCTAATGTGGGAACTGATCCACCCTAAAACCTATTACCCTAAAGTATCACATATTAATTTTACCTCAGGATCACAATAGCCATGCTATGACATTAAATACAGGATGGCTTCAGCACTAAAACTAGGTTAAAGTCAAATAAGCAATTTTTTTTTCTGAAAAGCCCATGCAATTACCTCTCAACCAAGAGCATTTGGTATGCGGATTTGACGAGAAATTAGCTTGTAAACAATATTAGATGGTTTTGGTTTTGGCCAAAGAGGTTTTGGAGGGATTGGATTAGGAGAGAGATCCCATAGCAGTGGATGTACTCTAACTTAGATAGGCTGTGTGACCTTTGATCTAGATGGAGTCATGTCCATGCTCATAGTTTCCCTCAAACTTCGTTGTTTTGACATCTTTGGCAATTTTTTTCTGAACTTTCATTTAACAATCTCTACAGTCAATACTGCATCATTTCGTTGTTCACTATTTGATTTTGTTTTATTCATGGGTCTAATGTTATTTACTCATTGTGATGTGATAATTTCCCAAAGAAATTCTAATAGTTAAAAGGAGGCCAGCTCTCCGGTGGAGTAAAGAGTATATGTTGAACCAGTTTTGAGTATAAAATTGATCTATGCAATCAATACTCACCTTACTCATTTAGATCATCAGTGATCAGATGGTATATTTGGCTCTCAAGAGCAACACAATTTGTACAGTAGCTCTATATTTTCATGTAGAAACAAGGAGCTAAGTAAAGTAAGACGAGGAGTTCCATCTCTTCGTTCTTCAAGAGTCGCCTTCAATAAAAAATTAGTTATTTTCAGAACTCTCTATTGGAACGTGGGTAACTACTAATTGATCGGAATACATGGAGAGCAGAGACTCGGACGAAGTATATTCTTCGTAAGCTTAAGATACTACGCAGGTCACTCAAATAAGACGAAACGTGGTGTGAAGACTTTAATAATTAATTTACAGAAACGATGGAGAAAAAGATAGTTATGGGACACCCTCTTCAAGACTTTACCTTTTTGCAATAAAATCCCAATATCTTCTCAAAGTCCACGACCTCCACCTTCCTCCACCACCATATATAATCACCTGTTGCCATCTTTAAACGCGTGTTCTCTGCTTCAGCCATAGATTCTTAATCCACAACTCTCATCCCAAACCCTATTTATATGATTAGCCTTTGGAAATGAAAGAGAATGGCCAACTTAAAGCCTTATGTATACATGTCTGAATATCTCTCTCTCTCCCTCTCCCTCTCTCTCTCTCCCTCTCCTTCTCCCTCTCTCTCTTCCCTTCAAGTCCCAAAACCCTAGTCTTCTCTGAATCATCTAGAGATGCTAACTCACTAGTCACAGAGCTTCCTCTCACAAAATGGTTGCGAAGGGAAAAATGCACCCTTTTCTTTTATCTCCTTCACATTCTGGTTAGTGGCTTAAGTTCACAGGAAAGTGAGAGCTACTCTTTGGGCTTCTTTAATTGCGAATGGTGCACTTCAGTACTTGGAGAACAATAACGGCACACAACAGAATTTAGTGAAGAACAGCCCTTCTTTGCCTTAATGACATAGGTAATCAAACAGTTTGTATTACTCTCACAAGAACATCTCTCTCTCTCTCTCTCTCTCTCTCTCTCTCTCTCTCTCTCTCTCTCTCTCTCTCTCTCTCTAGTTTTAAGTTGTTAATTTGCGGATCTCAATTAATATATAGTCTTGGACAATAGGTACTTCTACATGTGTCATATGACGATATCTGTATAAATCAATTTAGTTGATTTACCCGCTTGTACTTCTTTAGTTATATGCTCATCATTAGTAAATCCATGTGAAAAAACTGTTTTCCATATGCAACGAGAAAAATCCTAAATTCTCTTCAGGTTTTCTTACTGATTTCTCATGGCCCAGTTCTTTTGTAGTTGCATGGCACATTTGAGACAATGCAGTGGATAATGATTTTAGAAAACTCAGGAGTTTCTTTTCTAATTAATTAGTTTTTTTCTTTTTTTTTTTCCTTTGACAAGCAAGAAAATAAGATCGTCAATACATACCTATACAAATAAAAATACAGTTATATTCTTTACTTGCATTCTTGTTTGTTCTCCTAGCCTTTTAGTGATCGTTATCTGCTCTGAGATATTCTAAATGCAATTTGAAAAAAAAAAAAAAAGAGAAGGGAAAGAACTAAATATGACATGAATACGCACATATTGATGAATGAACAATGACTATGCTCCCAGTGCAGAACTCAACACAGTTAATGCATCGTTAGTTTTTTTATTCTTCTGAAAAAGCAATGTGTATCTATTTGTTGCCTAACCAAACCTATTATGTTTCATCAATTTTATTTGCCTCTCATTTGTTTCCATACTTCAGTATATATTGAAAAAATCACGCCTCTAAAATATGGTGGCGAATTATATGATCTGGTTACTTGTAATCCCCAAAAGAACCACCTGTCTCAAACAGTGCCTATGCTCTCCAAACATTCATGGAAAGTCTAGGATCTCCTTTAACGGAGGGTGCAAACTTTAGAACTAATCATTGATAATCTCAGTTCCACTAATCACATAATTAGATTCTGATTGATGCCGTACACATCAGATGAAAGTCACTGAAATACTATGCCTGCAGAAATCTATTCTTTAGAAAACACATACTAATTGATGTGAAACTTTTTATTTTTTTTCAGTTTACAGGTGATCTTTTGGAAAATTAGATGTGTGCGAAACTGGAACATCTTAGCAACCCAAGGAGAATTTGTAAAACCATGGTAGAATATATCCATTGTCAAATTAATGGCAATGTGTATTAGAGTAACTACTCTAAAATTAATAATCGCATAATTCAATATTATCACCTATTCAACACCGCTTGTGAAGTCTCTCCACGACCCATGTTTCTGATATAACCCATCTAACTTATCAACCTCCTTAGAAGTGAATTCACTCTCTACGAACCCCCTTGGATACTGCTTAATCATGAATTTTTTAGATTAGTGAAAGTAGCCTTATATGATACTATAATCCGTGGCAGGAAGACTTTAGGCTAGAGAATTAAATCTCTTTGTGGAGTCTCTTTCCTTGTGTTTGCCTGCCTTTCTGTGATAAACTGTGTAGAAATATGAGAGAAATTCAACAAATTGGTGAAACTCAAACACAAAAAGGAAACAGTTTTTTTCCATCAAATTAAATCTTCACTGAATGGAGTTTGAACTTTTGTTTTTCCTTGCAACAGCAAATGAAATAACTGTTAAAAACTCAATGACGAGTATTTACATGAAGCACATCTATGTTTCTTTCAGCGCGTAGTATAGACTTAAAATCGCGGGTAAAAAGCACACGGATCGAGCCCTCAGAAATGGAGCTTATGTTTTCCTGGGTTTTGACTGGGTAGTAGTTTTTCATGTTACAGCTAGATGAGTTATCAATAAAGAATTTCCATGCTTGCGTTGATATCGGTTGGTATGATAAGCCTCGGGAACTAAAGAAAATTATGAACCAAGGAAAATCATATTTCTCTGAGAGAGAGAGAGAGAGGGAGAGAGAGAGAGAGAGAGAAGAATGTATTTTTGTGTGGAACTTTATGTATTGATGATAAGATAAGAGCAAGTTTTGGAAGAATCCAGCTCTAAAGACTGATGACATATATCAATCATGGGTTTGGTACGTGAAATTAGGAAACAGGGAGACTGCATTTATGAAGTGACAAGTGGAATGCTCCAACTAAGAAGCAAGACAAAGCTAATTAGAAGGACGATCTGGGTCGTTGATTATGTATTGAAGCTCCAGGAAAAAGAAGAAACCGTCATCATGGATTTTGAACCACCATTTCAGGAGAACTATAAGACCCTTTTGCAGAACAAATCTGACAAATTAGATGATGAAAATGGTGATCGACAACCACCACCACAACCCATGCTTATTGAGCACTGTGAGTTACCTCTCATTGACCTGAGCCATCTACAAACTCGAGGGTCATCAGTTGTGAGAGCAAAGTGCAGGCGGAACATTGTGGAAGCTGCACGAAAATGGGGTTTCTTTCAAATAGTGAATCATGGGTTCCCCGCAGAGATATTGGAGAGCATGAAGCATGAGCAGACAAAGCTCTTCAGATTGCCATTTCAGAAGAAAGCTGAGCTCAGTTTCTTGAATTTGTCGTCGTCGTCATCGCCGACCAAGAGTTACCGTTGGGGAAACCCGCGGGCCACTTGCTTGAAGCAGCTTCCTTGGTCTGAAGCCTTCCATATACCTTTTGCAAACATCTCAAGAATGAAAGGGAATGACAATTTCAGGTATGGAATATCTGTTTTAGACACACAATGAGTTAATCTTCCTTTTCTTCGTAGAGCGACTTTCTATGGCTATTGTTAGAATAATTAAATATTAAACCACGCCTTCATCTAATAGTTTAAAAGTTTAGAATAGTTGTGGTCCCACAAAATTATAGCTATATACAGAAATCGGGGTATTTAAATATAAAATTACACATAAAGTCCTGTGCGGACTGATAATGCCTTCTTTGAAATTTAAAATTAGATGAGATGAATTTCGAAGGTTAAATAGAAAAGGAGATGTATTTAAAAAGCAATAATGAAATATCTTATTATTCCGTTTAAACATAATTATTATTTCGTCAATATATTTAGTTATTTATATCGAATAGCAGAGTCGCGTCTTGTAGTCCATTTCACGTTTAAGAAAGTCCCAACAACGTAGGAATGGAAATATTTATCAACAAGAATACATAGATAAAAAAAATTAATGTAATTAACCCTTACAGTAAGTTGTAGTGGCCAAACAGAAAAGGTTGACCTAGCTACTCGTGGAATTATCTATTTGCACCACCATGGATTTAATTAAAGATATCCATGCGGATGATTAATTTCAATATTTCAAAATCTAAATCGAATTTTGTATATCGATATCATTAGAAATGCAGAGAGCTAATTTCGGAGAGGAGACGTTAAATGCAAGGTGTGAAAATAGGACGGGGAACCATCACTTGAAAAATATGTGGACGATATAGGTGTTCCGTCATGATTGTGGTGACTGAGAAATAGTTTGAGTCGAGTTGATTTCCTTTTGAATTATGATATCATGTCCAAGGGATAATGACACAAATGATTCCTAAACTTTGGCTTAATATGCAATATGGTCATTGAACTTTTAATTTATTTAATATGGCCCTGAACTTTAGTTCAATGTGCAATGTAGTCCTTAAACTTTTAATTTGTTCAATGTAGTCTCTGGACTTTTGGTACTTATTCAACTTAGTCCTTGAATAATATGAAAATGTTCAATATTATTCTTTCATTAATTTTAGTTTAGAGATAACATCAAATATTTTGATAGAGTTCAGAAACTAAATTGAACATGTACAAAAAATTCAGGGATCACATTAAATTAAATTGAAAGTTCAGGTATTACATTACACATTTGGCTACAGTTCGGAGATTACACTGAACAAATTAAAAGTTCAGGACTATATTATACGTTGAATCAAAGTTGATAAATTATTTGTATCATTTTTTCATGTCCAACAATGTTGACGAATAATGGGGGTGGAGAGCACACCCGACTTGATAAATTAAGATGCTAAAGTACGTGAACACTGAAGTATTGGGGTCAATCAAGTCTATTTCAGAATTTCAAAAGCTGCCCTCTCTCTTTTTTGTGCCCAAACGTCTTTTTGTGATGTGCACGCGCACGTCTTTTCCTTTTTCCTTGTCAGGAAATCCAAAAGCATTGTGGGGGGCACTTTCCCAATTTACATGCTATGTACGGGTGGATTGGGTAGTCCTCAAAAAGGCCGAACCCTAATATTTTTACGCCGACAGATCCCAACCGTTCAATAAATGTTGGTTTGGATGGTTGCGATCTTTTGCTTTTCGATCCGACGGTGTAAAGGTCTCGGACGCACCACCATTTTTTTTTAAAAGACAAGAGACCCATCCTTGTCCGAACATACAAATGTGGAACCTCCATGCAAATACCACCTGAAAGTTTTTGTACTTTTCTTGCCCTCCACTTCTTTTGTTCTCTTTCAAAACTCATCACTGCATCACATGAATATCACGCCACGGACGGTGTTCTTCACGTGGGTCTATCGCTAGAAAGTCTCTTGCCAATTATTTCTGGCACCATATGTGTCAAAGACTAAAAGGGGAAGGAACAAATCAGGCAGAGCAGATCTTAGCATAATCACCATTTGCCAGAGAAAGGGAAACTGTTTGATTAACTTCAGTTTACTGTCATCTTTTGTTATGATCCTAATCACACGAAGAGCACATGCTTCAGTCCGCACACTCCTAGTTGGGAAAAAAAGACTATTTCGTGATGTGTTTATATCATTCACTATGTGATGTGATCATAATTTATGCGGAACACGTACTTTGGTCCATGCACATGACGATATTAGTCTTATTGACTAGGAGAAAGTGAATCATGCTTGTAGTAATTATGTAAGTTTTTTTGTTTTTAGTAATTATGTAAGTTGACAAGAGCCATGTTATCATGTCATTATGCTTTGTGGCATTAGTATTAGAAGAACACTTTAGCATCAAATTAGACTCATCAACAAACATACAGGTCGATCGTATCCCACAATTCATACCAAAATGAAACTAAAAGTTTAGCAATGTTTAGTTTTAACAGGCTAATTAGTAGAGCACCAATGGGGCGACACTTATCCTTTTGGCCCTTGCTAAACCAGACCACTTGCACTTTTGAAACTTAACCGTTGTCAATTACAACCACATGGCCACACAGAGGAAGGCCAGCAAAAGCAGCAACAATAGATACATGGGTGGCAACAGTAAGGTTGCTAATATATTAGTCGGGGTTACAGGAAACATCAGGAGGACTATCTTCCCTGATTTCAAGTTGGTATGGAGGGGCCAAGCATCACCCTTAGTCCATGAGATTCAAGATTAGATCTACGCTATCAACATTTGCATATACAAATGGAAAATCCAATCTCTTCGGCTTCACAGATTGTTATAATGGCGAAAAAAGGAACATTTGCACAAAGTCCGTTTCATTAAATCAGTCAATTATATATCAAGATGTAAAGGAAACAGATGTAAGTACTTGGTCCTTGCAAACAAAGCTATATTGTTTTGTGTTATGACCGATAGGTCCTGTTTATTACATCACCGTTTGATGCTCGCTAAAAGATGTACGATGCTTTCTCTCCTTCAGAGTCGCCATGGAGACCTACGGGATGACTGTTGCTAATCTTGCAGCATTGATCGCTGAAATTCTAGCCGAGGGTTTGGGCGTCAAAGGCACCAATTACTTTGAAGCGAATTGCACGTCGAGTACTTGCTTCCTTCGGATGAACAGATACCCTCCATGCCCACTCGCTTCCCAAGTCTTTGGATTGATGCCTCACACGGACACTGATTTCCTCACGTTCTTGTGTCAAGATAAGGTTGGAGGGTTGCAGCTGATGGAAGGCGAGAGATGGGTCAGTGTTAACCCTAACCCAAATGCTCTCCTCGTCAACGTTGGCGACTTATTTGAGGCAAGTATAGGTCATTCCAAGTGCATACGCATATGCTTCCCCTTTAGAATGGACTGTTCTGTATAATCATCTTTTGAGAAGCTCATATTTCACACACACACATTATATGGATGAACGCGGGGTTTCTGTAGCTAGGAACAATCTCTAGGCACAACGGTACTTCCGACTCTACCCCGGACGTTGTGCGATTATCCATCCCTTTAATCTGTCCCAATTTGTGTGCTTAGGCTGGTTTTGTAGCATTTTTGATGAGAAGTAGTCATCACTTTTTCGTAATTATATGCAGTGAAAGTGTGACATTAGGTTAAGACTCTATAATGAAATATGTAGAGGATCTCCATCCGTATTTGGCGAGCTTGGTCACCCACCCTCCCATCCCAATCACTAGGTCATTTCCTAGTGGTGAAATGGGCTAAACTTTGGTAGTTCGTAGAAGACTCCCGTGAAAATGGCTCTCAGAATCTCAAAGCTGCTCTGTTTTCTCGAGTTTATAACAAGAATTGCAAAATTCTCAAGTGACTAGGCCTAACCTTTCAACGATACCCTATATTCAAGATCATGCCCGGGGTTTACAAAAATGGAAGTCTCTCGTAACAATGGCATTGAGAGTTAAACTATTTGGTTTTCATTGATCAGCATATGAAGTTTTCCTGTAAGTGCAGGCTTGGAGCAACGGCATTTACAAGAGCGTGAAGCACCGAGTGATGGCCAGCCAAGAAGTGGAAAGGTTCTCAATGGCGTTTTTCTATTGCCCCTCCATCCACACTTTGATCGAAAGCCCCCTCAAGCCAGCCCTGTATAGAAGCTTTAGCTTCGAAGAATACACAGCGCAAGTTCACAGGGATGTTCAGGCCACAGGTGACAAAGTCGGCCTCTCTCGGTTCCTAATTCAGTGAAAGTATACTACACCACTCTAAATGTATATTATTATATACATATATAAATGTGTGCATATGGGTGGTAATTTTGTGGTAATTTTGCTTGCGAGTTCAGGCTCACATGCCCTCTCTCCCTATGTCAAATAGAACTTTGTTTGTTGCTGTGTGTATTTACATGAGTTGGGGTCAGGGAAGTTGGTGGTTCTCGTTCTTTGTTGATCGAATCTTGTACCTCTCTTCCAGTTTACATGGAGAGACGACGCATGCCATCTTTTCTTCGCTTTGTTCTCTTTGGAGTCGGTAAGGTATGAGGGATTGGACTGCACTCCAATTGGTACCTTTTCATTGTGCTGTGAACTGCCTTTGTCCTCTTCTCTCATGGATGATGGCGCCTGATAGAGCACAAACGCGACTCTCTCTCTCTCTCTCTCTCTCTCTCTCTCTCTCTCTCGCGCATTTATACAGGTTTGATCCTCACGTCTTCGTGTTCAAACAGCCTCACATTTTAGAGATTACCTAGACTTTGGCCGTGTTTACTTTGCAAAAAAAATTATTATGACTAATCAAGACTTTAAGCGTACAATGGTACTTGTAAATAAATTCTTCGATAACAATGAATTCGATATCCGATGAGAGAGTCCCAAAAACTTCGCGAGCATTTTCGTTCTATGGCTCAATCTGTAAATACTAACTTGCAGTCTGTCACGTCATTCAACCAATTTGGTATACCATTCGAGTAAATCCTTACTACATGTGCCTATACATGAGGGGATAAGTTGAGTTGATAACTTACCAACAATCCCAAGTCACCATAGAAGAAAACGAGAAAGAGAGAAAACAATGATCTATATCACGCCAAAGATGCATGGAGTATTTTTTCACAGAAACAAAAAGAAAAGGAGAAGTCTGTATCCCTTAGTACTATCCCTTCATTATGCCATGAACTTGATTTTGCATGCATGGCAGGACCTGAAGTGGATGACGAAAAGACTGCAATAATAGCGTGAGAGGAAGAAGAGTCCCCTCCAAGTTTTAGATAGATTTTGCCCAGTATCTTGCAGACAAAACCCTATCTCCATCCAACCACCTTTGTCGTCGTACACACTTTATCTCTTTCAGGGTCCCCAGGACAACATATTCTTCGTAACTAGGGAAAATTCCAAAAAGGGACCCGAAATGAAGTCATTTTCTCAAATAATGGCCTGAAGTTGATATTGTCTCAAATAAAAGCCTGAAGTGGCCAATCGTTTCAAATAAGGACCTTTGGCCTGGTGACTGTTCCATTGTTGGATAAGGGGTATTTTAATAAAAAAAAATATAAGTAAATATTTTTATTTTTATTTTTATTTTACTTTCCTTTTCTTTTCCTTTTTCTTTTTCCTTTTTCCTTTTTTCTTCTTCCCTCCTAGTCGCCTCCCTCGCCGGCGTCGGGCCAGGGTTGCCTCGCCTGGTTTGGCCTGGGCGAGGCCAACCCAGGCGAGGGCGGCCCTCACCAACGTCGGCGAGGGCGACCCTCGCTAACCCAGGCGAGGGCAGCCCTCGCCCGACGCTGGCGAGGGCGACCCTTGCCTGCCCAGGCAAGGGTGACCTCTGCCTAAGGCCAGTGACCTCTGCCGGCCCCGGCGATGGCCAACGGAGGGAAGAGAGGAAAAGAAGAAGAAGAGGAAAAGGAAAAAAAAAAAGAAAAAAATAATAAAAGTAAAAGACGAAAATACCCTTTGGCCGGTGAGGTCATGTCCTTATTTGAGACAATAGTCACTCCATGCCCTTATTTAAGAAAATGAGGGCACTTCGGGCCCTTATTTGAGGCAATGTCCACTTCAAGCCCTTATTTGAGAAAATGACTCCACTTTGGGCCCATTTTTGGAATTTTCCCTCACAACTATATATGCCCTAAAAGCCAAAATGTCTCTTGAATAACATATAATATGAACGTTGTACCGCGGGGCAGATTCAATCACAGTCTTACAAATTAAACGTGGAGTTGAAAAGCGAATGTTCTCCGGAGGTCTTACACGGAACAAGCTGTTTCGATGTGTAATCAGCTTGAAATAGCGAATCGAGCGTAGCAGTTGGGTAATAATATATTCTTCAGGGAAAGCGGCCTTTTGTTTTTCCGAAAGGCGTTTCTTGTTTTTGAAAGGTGGAGGCCCAAGAGGCGTAATGAGTCAGTCCTTCTGTGGTGGAACCGTGAATGGACATCTGAGGCTGAAACACTCGGTACTTGCTCGTCATCCAGCATGCTTCCAACTGCTCGGCAAGCCCCTGCGGTTGACAGATTGTGCACAAGGACAAGGTTCGTTTTCTTTTGTAGTACTCGGAGATTTGAGTTCATTATTGTGCTTGCCATTGAGCTTCAGATAAGGTTTCTCTGGAGTGGGGTCTGGATCCGAGGCATGTGTAGACCAATAACGTCCTTGCGTTGAACTCTTTCTCCCTCTAGACATCATCATCGAACGCACGGATCAATCAGCTTTATTACGGCCTTTGGGGACAACACTCATGTGAATGTATACAGACAGACGTAGGACTTTCTGACTTGCAAACAAAAGAGAGATCTGGAGGATGAGGTTGATGAAGAAGATCTGGAGGGAAAAACGAATCCATCACGGAATTTGGCCATGTTTTTCTTAGAGTGGAAGTTCTGGACTAGGTCATTTGGTATGTGAAACATCGATTCAAAGGGTAAATCACGACCAAGAATCCGATTAGGAAGTTGCACAGAACCTTTACACTCTGATATATACTCGTTTTGTTTTGGGCCTTGTAGATTTCAACTGCAAATAAGAGGGAAAATAAGAAAAAAAAAAGTTATAAACCTATTCTTTGGATGCTAATTGAGTCATAAACCTTTTAATTTGACTAATTGAGTCCTAATTCCTTTGACGATTTGCCAATGTAGTCATTCCGGCCAATTTTGATCGGTAATCGCCGACATAGATACCGGCCTTTCTACGAGGTCTAGTTGGCGTTGATGTGAACAATTTTTTTGCATTTTTTTTCCTTCTTTCTCCATCGGTTGCTAGGCCTTAGCGATGATCGGCAACCGACCACAAGCGAGGGCCGGCGAGGTCCCTCTCCAAAGGTTGGCAAGGGTCAACCTCGCCAGCTTCAGGCAAGGCTGGCAAGGTCGAGCGTTGCTGGCCAAGGTGATTGACGGAGGAAGAAGGGAAAAAAAAAGAGAAAGATTTATAAAATTTATAAAAGATTCCAAAAATTCAAAAAATTGTTCATATCAACGTCGGTGGTGCCACGGCTGATGTTCACGTGCCGACCAACATTCACCAAAAGAATTATATTGATAAATCGTGAAAAAGTTTAGGTCTAAACTAAAAGGTCATAAAAGTTTTGGTTTTAAATTGAAAATTTATTAACTAAATTGACATCTTGCGAATATTTTTAAGACTTTTTTTGGTAATTATCCCACAAATAAAAATAATATAGGAGCGAAAAACTAAAATTTCATTTTATAACGAATACATTATTTTTAATGGAAACTAAATTTTCCCTTGCTAATTAAGCACCAGTCAAAAAAAAAATTTCTCATGATGGGGTGATGATTCAAGCTTCGCCCATCTGATTTCCTGGGATTCATGAACTCCTGCTAACCCATGGCCCATATTAAGTCACGGTTTTCACCCGGGAAGGTTTTTTTTTTTTTACATAACCTGGGAAGTTGGACCACGAGGAATTGGTAACATTTTGCAGACAGAGGGGGTTGAACTCGCAACGTCGTGTCCCATGCTCGAGCCCGTCCCTTATCTCGAACTCTGTAGGGTTTAATTTTCTTATTTTTTGTCCAATTTTTTTTATTTTTATTTTATTTTTGGTCAGATTCCAAGTTTATATTGGTCCTCAGGTTGTTGATGAATCTTCTCCGCCGATATTTTGCCGCGGGGCCTATCTGGCGTAGCGAAGCTTCGAAGTCGAGCGCGGCCCATTTTCTCCCGAATCGGGCCGAAATCATCCCGGCCCGGCCCATCAGGGAGGTCCCGGGCTCTTCAGGCCCACGAGCCGAGATGGAAACTGTAGGAGCGAAGCGAAGCGATCCACCTGAAACGACGTCGTTCCGACCTCGCCATTCCATCGTACATGACAAGCAAAGCAAAGCAAAGCAAAGCAAAGCAGGGCGGAAATGCGTACAGCGTAAAACCTCTCAAAAAACCCTCTGGTCGGTCTGGAGTTGTGGAAGCAGAAGACGAAGGAGAGGAGCTGGCGACGGCAGCTCAGATGTCCTCCTCCTCCTCCTCCTTCAAATTGAGCGCGCTGTTCCGATCGGCCGTCAAGTCCGCCAACAAGGTCGCCGCCTCCGCCAAGGACGCGTCTCTCAAGAACGTCCTCTCTTCCATCGACTCCTCCGCCTCCTCCGCCTCGTCCACGTCCACGTCCTCCACCATCACCGACACCCTCCGGAGGCTCTCCGACAGCCCCGCCGCGCGGCATTCTCGCCCCGACAGGTCCTCCCCGAAGCTGGCGCGGAGCAAGTCCGTCTCCAGTCCGGAGGCGAACGCGGCCGAACCATTCGGTACGTTTGGTTGTTCTGGCTGCTGGGAAGTGCGCGGCGTCGTGGAGATGGAGCGAAGTTTTGCGGTTGGGTTTGTCTCGGGATGATCTGAGGGTGGTTGTTTGTGTCTGGAGGCTGGGATATTAGCAAACATTATACGAATAGGAGAATAAGCTACCGAGCGAAATCTGAATCGTTTGTTACAAAGGCTGGAACTTCGTGATTTAACTGAAAAGTTGAGCTCTTTTATAATGATGCTAATTAAAGCCACCGATTCAATGTTGTGTTGCTAGATGCTGGAAGGTTTTATGGTTTCTGTGTCTGATTAGCGTGCTTTATTTACTCTTGATTTTTCACCAGTGACAGAGGATAGCTGAATCTGTAGTGCCTTTTATTTCCTTCTTTTTTTTTTTTTTGTGGTTTTAGTTCACCTTTTGGTTTGATTGTTATGTGTTGTTGTTCCTCAGATGCTTTGCTGGGGAAGCGGCTGTCAAATGATATGTCAAATGAGATATCACACGTCCTGCGCAGTACGTGTTCGTTGATTTCACTGTGATTAATTAGTATATTGGATCTAGTTCGGCTTGCATTTGTAGTTTCTATCTGTAGTAGATAAATAAAAATTCAGAATTTCGAGATTGGTTGTGGTGCTGAGAAGACGTTCAAGGAGTTTTTCTGCCTGTGGTGAATTCCGAATGAAGCATAAATGAATTGTGTCGCCCATGTATGCTTATTGATTAGGCTTTCAGAATTGTTACTTATCCAATACTTAGTAATGCATTTGAACTGATGCTTCATTTTTATATTGATGATACC